TCCACCAACTAAGCCAGCCAGGCGCCCCGCCCACGTTCTATTCTGCAGTTATGTCTCCTTACACCTAAGTCTGACTGTTTTTCAAACATCCATGTTTCTGATGACCTTGACAGTTTTGTGATGTGCTGGTTGAGTATTTTTGTAGAATGTCACTCAATCAGGATTTGTCTGATAGCCTTCTCATGGTTAGACTGGGGTTTTATGTTTTTGAGAGGAAGATCGTAGGGAGAAAGTGCCATTTTCATTTTTGAGTATAGTCACTGTCTGCTTCAGTTTGTTTTTCTTTCCTGGAGGCATTTCTTCTAGAACCTTCTGCTCCAGTTTGGATTTGGTATTGCCTGCTAATTGTCATCCGGAGATTTACCTTCATTCACTTTTTTCCTTGAGATTCTTTTCAAGGTTCTTCTGTACTGGATTTTTCTTCCCTGGATCTCTTTTCTTCTTCCTCCTCCCCTCCCCCTCTGACTGGGTGCAAACATGCCAGGAGTTGAGGGGCAGTCTCAGGATTTCGGAAACTCAATCTCCTTTTCAAGTTTTATGTCTCATCTCTGCTGTCTACTTTGCCTAATGTGTCTGACCTCAAGGCCTTTCTAGTTCAGTTCAACAGCAGGTTGCTAGAGAAGGGATGCTCGCTGACCCCGCCAGAGGACAGAAGGGACCCGTGGGCCCAACACTCTTTGTATATTAGACTATCAACTTACCTGTTTTCAGCTCACTCCTCAGCTTCTAACACACCCGGTACCTTCAGTTACTGATGTTTTCCAGTTTCTGCCACAATCAGCTTGCTGCTTGTTGGTTTCTCCTTTGACGAGACAGATTTCAATTTCTCTTTCTCTGTTTTACCAAATTAGTGACTAGTCTTCCATCTATTTTGCATCATTTTGGTCTTTTCCCTTTCCATCTTTATCCACATGTAATAAATAATTTGAACCTTTTGATTCCACCTCCTAATTATCCATGAAGTTTACTCCCTACCTGTCCATTCTCATTGCCATGGTTTTAATGTAGGCCCTCATCATTTTCCTCCTATACTGTTACAATAAAAGTCTGTGTGTTCTCCATGGTTTTCATCTTTTTCCACATCCACTGCTCTCCCCATTTTCTTTCTAAAACATAATCTTATTTTTTTCACTTCTCTGTTTAAAATTCTTTGAGAGTTTCCTGTTCCTTGCTAGAATAAACTCCAAACTCTTCAAATACTATCCTCCTTCAAAATCTGGACCCTGCATACCTTTTCCAGTCCCATTTCTTGCCACCATCCCCAACATGGTATTCTACCTTGCAGAGCAATCTATGTTCTGACACACCTTCAGAACTTTTCATAACTTCTTTCCTCTTCCTAAACATCACTCCATTTTCCCCTTTCTGGAAAAGTGTTTACTTATCCACCCAAGCTCGGATCAAACATCACCTCCCAATCCCCAAAATGAATTAACTCATTCTCTTCTCTATGCCCTCATAGCCCCTCTCACAAACCCCTATTACAGCCCTTTTATATTGTGTGGCGATGGTTTGGGAGTCTATTTCTCACACAGCCAATCCTTCCCATCTTTGATTCCTTCTTTTTCTTACCCTCCCCCTACCCTTCAGGTTATAGCATGATACCTTTAACACAGTAGGGCAACTAACATATCTTGAGCACTTAGGCTCTTAATAAATATTTGTTGAATAAATGAAGGCAACACATGAGAGATTTCAGGAAGCCTGAGAATCCCTACTGATGCAGTTTCTGAAGGTTGGTGAGGTCCGGAGCTGATCTTTTTGATGCAAAAAAGTGGTTTTATTAAAGCACAGGGACAGGACCCATGGGCAGAAAGAGCTGCTGCCCTGGGGTGGTGAGGAATGGCTGATTATATACTATGGGATTGGGGGAGATAAAGAAAAAGGGAGGTGCCCCAAAGGACTTTCATATACTAAAGAAGACCCTCAGGATACTGGAGACCTTGCTATTATCAAGATGAGGTTGTTTTTCCCTCTAGCACAACATCAACATTAAGATAGTTGGAAGAAGGGCCGCCTGGGTGGCTCAGTCAGTTAAGCGTCTGCCTTCAGCTCAGGTCATGATCCTAGGATCGAGTCCGGCATCAGGCTCTCTGCTCATCGGGGAGCCTGCTTCTCCTTCTCCCTCTGCCTGTCTCTCTCTCTCTCATATAAATAAATAACATCTTAAAAAAAAGAGAGAGAGAGTTGGAAGTTTCCTGGAGGAATGTCACACATGTCCCACCCAGGAGTGGGGTGGGGGGAGGTTGCTGGGTGTCAGCTTGTGCTTTGTCCTCAGCCGGCCTTCTGCTCCCTCATCACCTACCCTTGGGATTTTCTGAGGTCCTTATTTTAGGGGTTTACACAAAAATATGCCTGCAGGCACAGGGGTGCATTTCCTTAATGGTGACTAATGACAAGACAGGCAGATAAACTTCAGACCAGCGGGGCTATAACTTAGGCAGGCTTGCCTGTAAGACATTTTTTTTTTTTTTTTGCTTTTTTTTTTTTTTAAGATTTTATTTGTCAGAAAGTGAGAGAGCAAGCAGGGGGACTGGCAGACAGAGCAGGCAGAGGGAGAAGCAGGCCTCCCACCGAGCAGGGAGCCCGATGCGGGACTTGATCCCAGCACCCTGGGATCATGACCCTAGCCAAAGGCAAACTCTCAACCAGCTGAGCCACACAGGCGTCCCTGACTGTAAGACATTTTGAGGCTGGCTAGATTGGAATCTCCAGAAAGTGGGAATTTTTATCTTTTTGTTTACTGTTGTATCCTCAGTGCCTGGTACCTAGTAAGTACTTGTCTTAGGGCACCAACAGGAAATTGATGGCACACTCGAAATAGGATAACTCGAGGAGAGACCATTTATAAAGGTGTAGGTGGGGTGTAGGGGAATCACAAATGATAGCAAAATGGGGCGCCTGGGTGGTTCAGTTGGTTAAGCGTCTGCCCTCGGCTCAGGTCATGATTCCGGGGTCCTGGGATCGAGCCCCACATTGGGCTCCCTGCTCCACGGGAAGCCTGCTGCTTCTCCCTCTCTCACTCCCCCTGCTTGTGTTCCCTCTCTTGCTGTCTTTCTCTCTGTCAAATGAATAAATAAAATCTTAAAAAAGAAAAAAGAAAATGACAGCAAAGTAGCCCAGGGCTTATAATGGTGAGAAGCTGTTACACCAGCCTAGGTCTAAAACGGAGAAGTTATACAGACTTGGCTACCCTGCCCTTGAAAAGAACAATGACTGGCAGTCACGGCCAACCGGTTGCTGGAAAGGCCACCTCCATGAGGGTGACCTCAGTCTAAATCACAAGGTTCAAGAGTACGTGGAAGAACTCCAGCTTAATGGCTGGCATTAACACAAAAGGACTCTAATCTAGTATGGGGATCAAGCAGCAGGAATCTCTAAGCCAAGGTTGGCAAATGCATGGCATACACACCACCACCTTTTCCTTCCGCATTTCCCAATCTTGCCCTGAAGGCCGACTTTCTTTGTCAATTACAGTTCTCTTTCTTACTTCACCCAGAAAAGGCCCCACAGTACTTTTAGGCACAGTGCTCCAGGTAGCGAGCGACTGCAGGTAAATTGCTGTTACCGGATATGAAACCTATTTGCCAAACTGGCTCAGGTCAAATAAGAATAGAAGTAGGGTTAGTAGGGGTCTTTCCAGTTTGAAATAGGTCCCTGGCAATCAGCTACAAAGGTTGGATCAGCTCCCGGGAGAAGAAACTGCCAAGTGCTAGACTAAGCAGATTTTGGGGGGCTCCAGACAGCCAGGTTAAAGTTCAAGTTAGGATTCTGGTCCTAAGGGAGGGAATGATGCAAATCACCAATCAAAGCAGAAATTCTACAAACTGGTCGAAACAATTGAGAGTTGAGGAAAAGGCATATAGTAGGCATAGAGGATATGTTTTTCAGAGTAAGACTGATTTCAGACTCATTTGCTGGTAGAAATGATATTTCTAATCTGTCATTAGGGATGGTGTGGATTGACGCCAGAATTTGGCATAACTGAACTCACAACAGCCATATTTTATTTTATTTATTTTTTATAGAAGTTATTCATTTGACAGAGAGAGACACAGAGAGAGAGGGAACACAAGCAGGGGGAGTGGGAGAGGGAGAAGCAGGCTTCCCGCTTAGCAGGGAGCCCGATGGTGGGACTCGATCCCAGGACTCTGGGATCGTGACCTGAGCCGAAGGCAGATGCTTAACGACTGAGCCACCCAGGCGCCCCACAACAGCCATATTTTAGGTACCTGCAGCTAAGCAGGGAAAGATAGGGAAAGGAGTAATAATCTGCTTTCTTTTTTCTTCTCCTCTCCTTTTAAAAATGATTCTAAATTAAGCCAAAAGTTTTTGCTGTGAATGTTTAATTAAAACAAGCGTATGAGATCATAATAACTACTATTTACTGAGTATCTACAGTTTTATGCTTTAGATGTATTCTCATTAATCTACATAACAACTCTATAAGGTAGATATAATTATACTTACCTTATAGATGAGGAAATGGAAGTTTAGAGTAATAAAACAAATAAGTTGTAACTTTAAGGTTTTGATCCAAGCTTACTTGGCTTTAAAGCCTGAATTATTTCTGGTACTTCAGCGGCCTATGCTATCCTGTTGAGACCCATGATTTCAACCAACCTCATCTTGGATTACTCTGGGTCATTATAAATGATGAGGACAAGCAAACTTAATATGGTAAGGCCAAAGGAAGGTAGATATTAGCAAATTACAAAATATCAGCATGGTTAAGAATAACCAGAATAGGGGTGCCTGGGTGGCTCAGTCGTTAAGCATCTGCCTTCGGCTCAGGTCATGATCCCAGGGTCCTGGGATCGAGCCCCACGTCGGGCTCCCTGCTCCGCGGGAAGCCTGCTTCTCCCTCTCCCACTCCCCCTGCTTGTGTTCCCTCTCTCACTGTTTCTCTCTCTGTCAAATAAATAAATAAAATCTTAAAAAAAAAAGAATAACCAGAATATTTTATTCATCTTTAAATTTTTTTATGTTAAATATTGTACCTGCCCATACTCAAAGTACTTTCTAAGAGAAATCGTCTCACTCATGGTTTCTGAGGACAGGGCAATTTGTACTATGCTATTTTTCTCTTGCATACTTCCCAGATGTGTGCCCCAGAGACAGGCAACTGTCCTAAGAGCTGCCAGTCCTTCAGCTAGCCTGGGACCTCCCACACAGCCTGAAACAAAGTAAGACACATGCCTGAGATTTTCTCACTTAGATATTGGAATTTGCAAATACAGAGAATGTTAGGGAAGGGTAGAATGGGAGGCTTGGTGGATCATGGCAAACCAAAGCAGAAGCTATGAAATAAAACACACAAAAAAACCAAGATAAACAAATATGTAACTCAGGGTTCTAACAAGAAACAAAAGACATGTGCAAATGATAAGTTGAGGAGAGTTTATCTACAAAGGAACTCATTAGAAATGTGTGGGCAGGGTGTAAGGGAGCCATAGGGATATAGCAGAGGAACGTAATGTGGGTAGCAAGGGAGCTATTACCAACCCGAGACCTGAAGGCACGTGGAAGAGAAGAGGTTGGTGGGGAAAGACGTGCACTTTGAGAGGAGCAGTGATCTTTGGTTGAGGGACAGTGTGCCTAAAGTGACCTTGCAAGGAGGGAGGATAAATACACTGACCTCATTCTGTACAGGTCAGGCTTTCAGGAAAGAGAGCCCTGTGGTGAAGGACGAAAAGTGGATCTGGAGGAGCAAACTGAAGATATTTTAGAAAAATAAAACAATGAGTAGAGGGAGGAGAACAGAACAGACATGCAGAGAGAAAGAGTTCCTGTAAAAGAAAAAGAGACGCTCCCCAGAAGGAAGACTGAAAGGGTAGCTAATTCCTAGAATTGCCTCAGATCTTGATGACTTTCCAGTTTGAAATCCAGTTCCAATTTTAGTCTAAGCATAGCTTTACAATAGACTCTCTTCCTTTAAAATAGTCTATGAGCGATTCGTGGTTTCTTGTAGCCCTTGTAAAATGCTGGGTACAATGAAAGTAGTTTATTCGTCTTAGAAATCCTGCAAATAGGGGTGCCTGGATGGCTCAGTCAGTTAAGCATCCCCAACTCTTGATCTCAGCTCCGGCCCTTATCTCACGGTTGTCAGTTCAAGCCCTGCTTTGGGCTCCACGCAGGGCATGGAGCCTACTTAAAAAAAAGAAAAAAGAAATTTGCAAACAAAGACATTTGAGACACATAGGCCACTTACTGAGAAAGAATCATGACACTCTCCTCAGCCTTTTTAAAGTGTCCAGATTTAAAAATAAAGGTGTCAGTGTTGTGAAAACCACTTACGGTCAAAATTGAGAAATTATAAAATTGACCTAATTAAGTGAACTCTCTTGAATTATGGAAAACAAGCTGCTCTTTGAAAAAATCACAGACCATTCTATAAGAAATTAAAACAATAATAATTTTCTTCTTTAATCACCTCTCCCCCAGCTTTATTGATTTATCAATATACCAAACTACGTATTTAAAATAAAAAATTTGATATATGTAATATGTCAATTTTGATATATGTATTCATCATCACAGTCAAAATAACATTTCCATCCACTCCAAAAGTTTCTTGTACCTCTTTGTAATCTCTCCCTCTACTTACATACCCAGGAAACCATTCATTTACTTTCTGCCACTTTGCATTTTCTACAATTTTATATAAATAGATCAAGCCATATATTCTTTTGTCTGCCTTTTTTCTTTTTTTTTTAAGAAGAGATTTTCTTGGGGCGCCTGAGTGGCTCAGTTGTTAAGCATCTGCCTTCGGCTCAGGTCATGATCCCAGGGTCCTGGGATCGAGCCCCACATCGGGCTCGTCGCTCGGCGGGAAGCCTGCTTCTCCCTCTCCCACTCCCCCTGCTTGTGTTCCCTCTCTTGCTGCGTCTCTCTCTGTCAAATAAATAAATAAAAAATCTTAAAAAAAAAAAATTAAGGTATAATTGACATAAGACATTTTCTCTCTCTGTCAAATAAATAAATAAAAAACCTTTAAAAAGAAAGATTTTATATTTATTTATTTGAGAGAGAGGAAGAGAGAGAGAGAAAGTGCACGAGCAGGGGGAGAAGCAGAGGGAGAGGGAGAAACAGACTCCCCACTGAGCAGGGAGCCCGATGTGGGACTCGATCCCGGGACTCCAGGATCATGACCTGAGCCGAAGGCAGTCGCTTAACTGACTGAGCCACCCAGATGCTCCTTACCTGCCTCTTTTCATTCTGCAGAATTTTTCTGGGATTCAACTATTTTGTTATGTGTATCAATAATAATTCTTTCTTTTTTTATTGCTGAATAGTTTGTCCTTATATGAATATACCTCAATTTCTCCATTCATGTCTTTTTTTAAAAAAGATTTATTTGAGAGAGGACATGCATGCACATGGGCGGGGGGAGGGGCAGAGGGAGAGAGACAGAATCTCAAGTAGACTCTGTGCTGAGCCTGATGTGGGGCTCAATCTCATGACCCAAAGATCATGACCTACACTGAAAGCAAGAGTCAGATGCTTTAACCAATTGAGCCACCCAGGCGCCCATTCATGTCTTTTTTTAAAATTAAGGTATAATTGGGGCACCTGGGTGGCTCAGTCGTTAAGCGTCTGCCTTCGGCTCAGGTCATGATCCCAGGGTCCTGGGATCGAGCCCCACATCGGGCTCGTCGCTCGGCGGGAAGCCTGCTTCTCCCTCTCCCACTCCCCCTGCTTGTGTTCCCTCTCTTGCTGCGTCTCTCTCTGTCAAATAAATAAATAAAAAATCTTAAAAAAAAAAAATTAAGGTATAATTGACATAAGACATTATCTTAGTTTCAGGTATATGACATAATGATTTGATATTTGTATATATTGCAAAATTACCACCACAATAAATCTAGTTAATATCTGTCTCCACATATAGTTGCAGAATTTTTTTTTTAAAGATTTTATTTATTTGACAGAGAGAGACACAGCAAGAGAGGGAACACAAGCAGGGGGAGTGGGAGAGGGAGAGGGAGAAGCAGGCTTCCCGCTGAGCAGGGAGCCCGATGCGGGGCTCGATCCCAGGACCCTGGGATCATGACCCGAGCTGAAGGCAGACGCTTAACAACTGAGCCACCCAGGCACCCCAGTTGCAGAATTTTTTTCTTGAGAGGACTTTTAAGATTTACTCTCTTAGGAACTTTCAAACATGCAATATAGTGTTATTAACTATAGTTGCCACGCTGTACATTATATCCTCATGGCTTACTTATTTTATAACTGGTAGTTTGTATCTTTTGACTCCCTTCACCCAATTCACCCACCTTTCACCCCCTTCCTCTGGCGACCTATAATCTATGAGATTATTATTATTATGATGTTTTTAAAGATTCTACATATAAGTGAGGCAGTGTGCCCAGTGGTCCTGTGGCTCTGTCTCTTGCTTCAACAGTGTTTGGACAGAACAAACCCAGGGACGCCCCTTCTACCAGCCTCCTACCACCTTCCAACATTTTTTCCAGTGTTAACTTTCAGAGCCATCTTCTTAGCCATCCTCTGCCTCCTGGACCAGCTAACACCCTATTTTGAGCTTAGCTCCTTATTACCAATCAACCATGAGCACCCAGATTTGTCAGAATTATTCCACCAAGGTGGAGGCCACCATCAGCTGCCTGGTCAACATGCATCTCCGGGCGTCCTACACCTACGTTTCTCTGGGCTTCCATTTTGAAGGTGATAATGTAGCTCTGGAGGACACCGGCCACTTCTTCCACAAGTCAGCGGAAGGGAAGCACGAGGGAGCTAAGCATCTCTTGAAGATGCAAAACCAGTGCGGCAGCTGCGTCCTCTTCCAGGAAGTGCAGAAGCGGTCCCAAGATGAGAGAGGCAAAGTCCTGGATACCATGGAAGCTGCCCTGGTTCTGGAAAAGAGCCTGAATCAGGCCCTTTTGGATCTGCATGCTCTGGGTTCTGCCCATGCAGACCCCCATCTCTGTGACTTCCCGGAGAACCACTTCTAGATGAGGAGGTGAAACTCATCCAAAGATAAGCCACCACCTGACTAACCTCTGCAGCCTGGGTGGTCCCAGGTGAGTAGCTCTTCAAAAGGCTCATTCTCAAGCACGACTAGGAGCCTCTGGAGCCCAGCAGCCTTTGAAGGGCCCCTCTGGCATCCCCCTGGTGCCAGGGCTTGCGCCTGAGGCTCTCCCTGCAGCCACTAGGCAACTTTTTTTTTTTAAGATTTCATTTATTTATTTGACAGAGAGACACAGAGAGAGAGGGAGGGAACACAAGCAGGGAGAGTGTGAGAGGGAGAAACAGACTTCCCGCTGAGCAGGGAGCCTGAGGCGGGGCTCTATTCCTGGACCCTGGGATCATGACCTGAGCCAAAGGCAGACGCTTAAAAAATGAGCCACTCAGACGCCCCACTAGGCAGCTTTTTAACCACCCCCTGGAGCCCTCTCCCAAGCCGTGGACAATAAAGCTTTTTGCAGGGAAAAAAAAAGATTCGACATAGACCTGAGATCATAGGGTATTTGTCTTTCTATGTCTGATTTATTTCACTTAGTATAATGCCCTCAAGGTCTACCCATGCTGTCACAAAAGGCAAGATTTCATTCTTTTTTATGACTGAGTAAATATTCTACACCACGTCATTATCCATTCTTCCATCAAAGGACACTTAGCTTGTTTCCATATCTTGGCTATTTGAAATAATGCTGTGACAAAAGTGAAGGCACATCTATCATTTTGAGTTAGTGTTTTTGTTTTCTTTAGATAAATACCCAGACTTAGAAATTGCTGGATAATTTGGTAGTTCTATTTTTAATTTTTTGAGTATCTCCATACTGTTTTCATTATTGGCTGCACCAATTTACATTCCCACCAACAGTGCATGAGGATTCCCTTTTCTCCACATCCTCACCAACACTAGTTATTTCTTGTCTTTTTGATAATAGTCATTCTCATAGGTGTGAGGTAATAGCTCATAGTGGTTTTGACTTTAATTTTCCTGATGTTGAGTGATATTGAGCACCTTTTCATGTACCTGTTGGCTATCTCTATGTCTTCTTTGCAAAAATGTCTATTCAGATCCTCTGCACATTTAATAAGATGTTTTTTGCTGTTGAGCTTTATGAGT